CCAGCACGAAGAGCAGACAGCAGTTCAGGGTTGGAATGAATTCCATGTTTTTCATGGTTACATTTGCTTATTCAAATATCGGATCCATGATCTGCTTAAGTACCAAAACGAGCCTGCACTCCTAACCAAATTGTTATCTTCATCTTGTGGACATGCCCAGTGGACCTCATCTGAGAGGATTTGGAAGATTCATCTGCTGATAGTTTGCTGACCATATGAAACACAAAAACGCCTTCGCTATTTGATGGAGCACAAAAACTGAGCCCTATTTGTTCAGAATCAAGGCTAGGAGAATTCAAATGGTCTGACCGCATGACCACAGTAGTAAAGAAGTGGCTGGATAGACGTGGAATGGATGAAACGTAGCGAGTATTGGTATCGTATGTTGTTGAAGGACTCTTTGGACGCTGAGAGGAAATGTGTACCGACAGTGTAGGATTCACGATGGTTGTCAGTACTGGCAAGTGCTGGTCAGTAGACACGATTAAGAGAGACAATCTCGTTTTGCTGAAATGAGGATGGCAATATGAGCTTAAGGTTCGGTCCAAGAGGACTGAATAACACGAGCTGAGTAAGCAACGGAATCAACCGGTAAGAGAAGTAATGGGTTTTAAGACTTATGGCAGCAAGGCAGGACGTGACTCTTGGGAGTCTCGTGAAAGGCGGGCGGCCGTCACAGAAGCCAAGGTCTCGAAAGGAATTCTCGTAAGCATGAAAAATGGGCGACGTTTAACAATAATAGTGACGGGTGAAATTCAATGCCTGAAAGAAGTAAAAAAAGAGCCAAAACCGTGCCTGCGATTTTTGCTATTTAGGAAAAACATCCGACCTCATGATTTATATTTTACCAGTGCTATTTTCAGACGAAGCTTCTTGTAGCCGTGCAACATCAGAAAGTCGTCGAGAAGGAGGCAGAAACTGATCGAAAGAAAGCGGTCATTGGTTAGTTTGAATATAGATCTTTCTGAGAATACTAATTCCATGTTATCTGTTTCAGAAGCTGAAAAGAAAGCGCAGGTAGCTGCTATAATGCATAAACAAACTATTGCGGAAAAAGAAACCCAGAAAAAGATCAGCCAATTGGAGGACGAAAGCCATCTGGGTGAGCTCCTTTTTTCCCTTCAAGGAATCAGATTGAATACATGCAATTTCCTGATTGTATTGTTTTAGCCTCCCAGAAAGCAAAAGCTGACGCTGAGTTCTACAGGGCTCAAAAAGAAGCCGAAGCCAACCGACTTCTGCTTACTCCGTAGGTTTCCCTTTGTAATTTTATTGCGGTCAAGTGTTCTTCGTTGATTCAGTGAAATCCATCTGTTTTTCGCATCCATCAGAGTTGTGGAAGGGTTGCCCACCAAATGCTTTTATTCGTTCTGTTTACACTTGCTCATTCTCTGACCTTTCCCGAGATGGTTCCATTTTTTTNTTTTTTTATGAATTCGCCTTCGGGATCAGCTGGCACCTTTAGGACCAACAATTAATCAGCCTTTTTTTCTTTTTTTTTTATTTAGAATAATGAAAAATTGTTGGTCATAATGATGAATGAATTGCTGTATTGGGACAGTGAAAAGGGCTTAAGAGCAGTGAGGTCGCTAGCTGTAACCTGTCCAACCGTGTCTCATAAAAGAACTGGCACTAACCGCATACGCATGTAACATCTCTCTCTGCCGATGTCTGTCCCTGAGCAGAAAACACCGTCCCTGTGGGATTTGAAGACAAATCCATGGAGCTCACTGTAAAATTGGTGGGTAGAAGGTGCAGGGAACTGATTACTCCCATGACTGTGAGAATTCAACAAGAGGTAGCCCTCAAGGAAGCTGACCAGTCAGTAGGAGATGGAAACTCTACCTCTCATACCAGCTCTATCGAATACGAAGCTTCAGAGAATATCTGGAGCTGAGGCGAATCGAGGCAATCGCCAAGAACAACAAGATTTTCTATGGACAAGATATTCCAAGCGTATTCTTCCACACGGATGACGTGGCAGCGATGGCACAGTCGGCAACGACGGCGTCGAAAAATCCATCAAAGTAATTTTTAGCAGAGTTACTGCTTTCTTTTAGAATTTCTTATCGTACTGCACTTCCTTTGCATCTTTCTGCATATTGTGATCTAGTTGTTAAACATTATATGAGAATTAGGCTGTTTCCACACTTTGGTCCAGCCACCACGTTATCGGACTTTGAAATCTTACGATTTTGCTCATACACAATGGATAATGATTTTTTTGTGAGTACGCGGTTTAGGGCAGCCATAAGTTTGAAGACAGGCCTAATTAGACTTCCTGTTGTTATTGTATTGTTCTTGTCTTTGACAGCGAGGGTATTTTCTATCTCAAGGCATTGCACAGAACATTATTTATTTATCTTTAAATGACCGATGTCAATGGAATTCCGGTTGTCGAGACGTTAACCGATCGTTTTGTTGTGTGTTTTCTTGTTTTTTCGAAAGTTGTAATGAACTTTACTAGTTTGCTAGGAGACTTGTTAACCAGAATTGGAACTCTTCCACATGCACGTATCGTGTACTTTAGAATGGTCATGGTTTCTGCGTGATTCGATATCATTAATTGTGCTTGTATTGGTCAAACCATCTGGGAGTTTGAAAGCATTATTGGCAGAGGCTGACTGGTAGGCGATTTTTTTGTTGTAAATGGTAAACGACTTCAGAGGTCATCAGTAGAGCAAAGGGACCTTAATGCGCTCGCCAATTCCGGGTAGAAGTAGAGTGCATGGCGCATTGAGAGCATGTCATTCACCGTTGGCTCCGTTATAACTTATACCCATCTCCTTTACCAATCATATCCCTTTTATATCTTGGTGTGTCGGTTTGTATGGTTGTCTAAATGTATGTCCGGCAAAACATCTCATGATTACTGTAAAATATGAACCTCCTGCGTAATGGCAAGGGAGGCCCTGTCATGCACGCTTGGTCCAGGTATCGAATTTCGGGTCCGTATCCGCCCAAGCCAATCGAACCTTCTAACCCTCCGAGCGATCAATTGGTAAAGACTCGCCTGGAAGGATAAAACCACTGGTATGTACATCGGCTGAACGCCTTGAATCTCTGTTTAGGCCAATACGCAATTAGCACGCTGCTAGATTCTGAAAGAAAGTCGAGTGCAGGGCGCATCTCAAAAGCCCCAAAGACTTTAAACTAAAGGCAGGCATGCAATGTAGTGAGAAGTGCTGCGAGCTGTTGAAGGGAATTCTAGGATTTGACCAGCGCCAGTAAGGTCTCCATTTGTCGTTGTCGCGAGCCAGAGTAGTCCAGTAAGTCGTACTCGCCCAAGGGACGCGGGGCAAGTCATTTCTTCCGTGATAGCGTTCATGAACATGTCCGACTTTCGCGTTGACGTTTGACGATCCGAAGGATCCAAGCAGTCAGTAACGGCCCTCGTCCAGCGATCATCAAGATATCGCATAACGTGTCCGACCCACCTCATCTTCGATTTCTAGAATAATAAGTGGCCATAGAATGAATAGTGAACGATCACAGGTATCATTGGCNAACTAAGCCTGGCATCTTAGAAGTGAGCACTGAGAACATTTTCATNATCACAGGTATCATTGGCCGTAATCAGTCAACGGCTTTTGTGCTAGTATTTAAGTAGAGGTTTTGGGTGAGGTCGCACACCCTGCAGTCCTCCCCGTTCGAAATCTAGCCGCAGCTTCAATGGGATCTCATGCTTCTGAGTTCGGTCAGTATCTTCATGTTTTCACAGCTGAAGAGCTCGTCATACGACGCGGGTACTGCCATCGACGGTTCTCAGCTTTTTAGTGGCACTTGTAGTGAGACTTAAAAGTAGTTGGTTCAGGGAATCGGGCTTTCTTACAGCTTTACTCATATAAACTATTTTTATAGTGCTCGTGATCGTCTGCACGTTCCTCATCTTCGGTGCAGAGGCAGATGACGAGGACATCAAACAGGCTTTCAACGGTATTGAGGATTCCGTAGAAACTGACAACGAAAACTCTCTTGGAGATGAGCCCAAAAAAGAACTCTTAAAAGAAGTCGAGAACATCAACAAAGGTAAAGAAGCCGTGAATCTAACTGAGGATCCTGACAAAGACAAGCAGGCCGTACCATACGAGAAGAAGAACGAGGAATTCAAGAAGTTCAAGACAAAAGAGAAGGGTTCCGTCAAGAAGAAATTCAAGAGGGAGGATTCCGTAGAAACTGAACCCCCTGAGATTTCAACTCGAGAACTTGCTGAAACTAGTCCTTGCATTTTTAATGGAAGTGGTGAGGCCACTTCTACGCAGGACAGCGGTTCTGACAAGCCGGTTACTGAACTTACTGAAGTAATAATCAAACACACTATAAACTCAGCTCAGAAAGATGCCAAAAGTAGTCTTGGCATCTCTAAAGGAAGTGGGAGTGAGGTCACTACTATCCAAGACAGCACTTACACTAGTCCTGGCATAGTTAACGAGAATGGTAGGGGTACTTCCACCCACGACACCAGTTCTAGTAAACAGGGAACTGAGCAACCTTCAATGAAGACCAAACGCTCTAGGAAGCCAGCTCGGAGACCCAAAACTAAGCCTGGCATCTTAGAAGTGAGCACTGAGAACATTTTCATGCAGGACCGTGGTCACGGTGAGCAGGTTACGGAGCGTCGTGGAGAAGAAACCCCAAAAAGCCGGGCCCAGAAACCCCATTATTACAATACGTATGACGACGAAGATGAAGCTGGTCGTGCTGACTTTGGAGTCGAAGTTTGGAATCCGGAGAACTCAGAAGATCCCCATGCCGCGGACTCCGACCATGTTCCAGACGACCCTGCTATGACACCCATTGATCTATTCTCGCTCAATTTTGGTATTGCAATAGTGATTATCTCTTATATGTTCCATTTCTTCTAGAATGTTCTGATATCCTTGCCAAAGTTCTTCTGACCATAACGTAATTATTAAACGGCATAACTTGTGACATTTGACAATAACAAATACTTTATTTATGCATTGTTAAACATTTTCAAATGCATCATATGATTCAACGGGAACTGCCGGTGTTGACTGCAAGCACTAAACAGTATTGTTCCAGTACTGTACTTTACTGTACAAAGTACTACTTTGGTTGTCACTTGTTGGTCGATTTGTCAGTCTGCCTGCCTGTCCGTCGACAGTACTTTTCATGGTTACGATAGAGATAGTAATGAGGAGAAGCCACCGCTAATTGGTAGGAAGTGGCAGTTAGGGGAAAGCTGAGTAAGTAAGGTGTGATTTTGGCGGTAGCTCTTGCTCGGCATAGGTTGCAGCATAGGCGTCTGACACGGTAGCTCCGATCAATCGATAACGATTTGTTGTCTGATTGAACAGGTAATCGCCATGAAGCTCTCATCTGCACTGGAGTAGCTACAGAGGTTGGCGAGGAGATATGTAATGAGCTGAAGGCTCTGAACTGGCTTTAATGGTTGCTAAAAGGACACACATCGGTATCAGTCGATATTTTTGGTCGATAGCGATCTTTTGCCATTCGTGCGTCACGACAAGCTGTGAGTTGAATACCCAAGATCGTGGGCCTCATACACGTATCCTGGATAAGGCTGTCCTGTTTGCTGGGCTGATCTCAGAACAGAAGAACTTTAA